GTAGACCTGCACCAGACTGGGAAGAGTGAATCTACAATAGGCAAGCAGCTTGGTGTGAAAAAATCAACTGTGGGAGCAATCATCAGAAAATGGAAGACATACAAGACCACTGATAATCTCCCTCGATCTGGGGCTCCACGCAAGATCTCATCCCGTGGGGTCAAAATGATCATGAGAACGGTGAGCAAAGATCCCAGAACCACACGGGGGGACCTGGTGAATGACCTGCAGAGAGCTGGGACCAAAGTAACAAAGGTTACCATCAGTAACACACTACAACGGCAGGGAATCAAATCCCGCAGTGCCAGACGTGTTCCGCTGCTGAAGCCAGTGCATGTCCAGGCCCGTCTGAAGTTTGCCAGAGAGCACATGGATGATACAGCAGAGGATTGGGAGAATGTCATGTGGTCAGATGAAACCAAAGTAGAACTTTTTGGTATAAACTCAACTCGCCGTGTTTGGAGGAAGAAGAATACTGAGTTGCATCCCAAGAACACCATACCTGCTGTGAAGCATGGGGGTGGAAACATCATGCTATGGGGCTGTTTTTCTGCCAAGGGGACAGGACGACTGATCCGTGTTAAGGACAGAATGAATGGGGCCATGTATCGTGAGATTTTGAGCCAAAACCTCCTTCCATCAGTGAGAACTTTGAAGATGAAACGAGGCTGGGTCTTCCAACATGACAATGATCCAAAACACACCGCCCGGGCAACAAAGGAGTGGCTCCGTAAGAAGCATTTGAAAGTCCTGGAGTGGCCTAGCCAGTCTCCAGACCTCAACCCCATAGAAAATCTGTGGCGGGAGATGAAAGTCCGTGTTGCTCGGCGACAGCCCCAAAACATCACTGCTCTCGAGAAGATCTGCATGGAGGAATGGGCCAAAATACCAGCTACTGTGTGTGCAAACCTGGTAAAGACCTATAGTAAACGTTTGACCTCTGTTATTGCCAACAAAGGTTATGTTACAAAGTATTGAGTTGTATTTTTGTTATTGACCAAATACTTATTTTCCACCCTGATTTACGAATAAATTCTTTACAAATCCTACCATGTGGATTCATGGATTTTTTTTTTTACATTCTGTCTCTCACAGTTGAAGTGTACCTCTGGTGCAAATTACTGACCTCTGTCATCATTTTAGGTGGGGGAACTTGCACAATCGGTGGCTGACTAAATACTTTTTTGCCCCACTGTATATCGAATAGAATAACTGATTAAAGCAGACTGAAGGTTTTGATACCACTGTGCCGGCAACAAAGACAAAATCTGGCTCATACGTAGCACATGATGCACAAATCAATTTGCAGGTTAAACAAATAAAATATTTTACTCTGTCTCCCCAAGTACGCTCATTCCCAACTACTAATTTGTCTGAACTGCAGCTCAGAATAACAGTTTCGTATACCAGGATTGGTTGCAGCCTCTGTACTGTGAGCCATTTTACCGTCTCTCATTTTATTGACACCTATCCTACCTTTAAGTGAGAAATCCCTTTGTGATTGGCTGTTACTCACTAACAGAAGGTTTGAATGGCAGGTGAATGGAGCCACTTGAATTGCCGCTTAAATCCAGAGCTGTCTGCCTGAGGTGACATATTAAGGTTAATCCTTCTCTGTATCATCATACAGATCCAAGAGCAGAAGAAAGGAAAACTTGGAAACTGAGCATTTAAAGCAGCATAAAGCCTGAGCTTGTCACAGTACTGGGTCGTGTGACCCAGTGTTTGAGTTTTTAGGTTTCTTTTGTATTCATTCGTGTTCTAGTTTAACTCATCTAGTTAATTTCTAGGTTGCTGTTTAGTCCTTTGTTTCTTAGTTCCTTTTGTCATCTCCCCTGTACTAAGCGTCCCTGGTTCGTGTGTCTACCTGTCATGCTTCATGTCTGTATGGTTCTTGTTATGAGGTTTGCATCATATCTAAGTCTCCATGTTTCCTGTTTTACTTTGAAAGAGTCCGGTGTTCCTTGCTTATTGTATTTAGTTTCACTTCCCCTGTCCTGTCATTAGGTTCATGTGTGTCAGCTGTTCTCCCTCATGTGTTTCCACTTCCCCTAATCATCACTGTGGGTATTTAGTCTCTGTGTTTCAGTCAGTCTTTGTCGCGTCGTCTGTGTAACCTTCCCAGTTATGGCTCGTCATAGTCGTCACCGTTCTCATAGTCACAGTCATAGAATTAGTTTTCGAAGTTTCATAGCTTTATCACAGTTTCATAGTCTCGTATAGTGTTCAGTGTCATAGGTTTTCACAGTCAGTTTAGTTGTCTTGCCAGCACTCGTCTTAGCTTTTGTTTTGCCCTCTGTTCAGCCATAATAAAGGCTCACCTTTTGTTAAAGTCATGTTACGTCTCCTTGCCTGTGTCTGCTCTTGGGCACTGCTCTAACACACCGGCGCACCGTGCCGTGACAGAGCTTTGACTAACAAGTATTTTTAGTTTATGCTGTGATTAAGCGTCTGTACATCCATTCCCAATTCAAAAAAAGAGTATTGGTTAGAATTTCATCAAACTTGTTGCTATCCAGATTTTCCTCCACAGTGTCTCTGAGATTTACAAAATGGACCATAATTTTTATTAAGTTTGACCCAAATTGAGTGACTGAGCCCATAAACTCAGCAGAAAAGCTTGTGTCAGAAAGCTGTTTTTCTATAGCGTTCTATAGGATGACAAGTCTGTATAACCACAGGTGTTGCTCCTTGGAGGCCATTAAATAAATTACAGATTTAAAGCACTTCCACATTGGTTTCAGTTTTCAGACCCAGACTCTATGTCCATCTTTTATAATGTTTATGGGGAAAGCACAACAGGTCCCCATGCATGCATGAGATTGTCAGTAGTTGGCAGATTACGGTTAACTATAATTCCAGGTCTTGCTCAGTTTATCCATTTGTTGAGTTGCAGCAAGAATATGTCTGTGAATTAATTAGGTTACTTTTTCAACTCTCATCCCAAAATATTTAGTAGGCAAACTATTTCCTTGGGGCACTTCTTTTAATCAGTAGCTATTTTAAAGAAGAGCTTTGTCCAGAAGCAGTTGTGAAGAGATGTGTATTCAATTATATGCAGCGTTCTTAGTGAGTGTTGGCAAATGGGCAGAGAAGCCTGCTAGAGGGGCACTAGTGCGTTTGGAAAAAAAAAATCTGTTTGTGTGAGATCAGGCTGTTCCTGTCCTGAATGTGAGTGTTTGTGGCACGTCACTCAGAGAAGCTGCATCCTTCAGCCCTGCCTGAACAGCAGTGCATCAGGGTAAATGATGCTGTGCCCTTGAAAAGGTCTATGTGATAATCCAAGATAAGTGTGTCTATGTGTGTGAGCAAAGCGGAAATGAGCGTGTGCAAATAGGCTATTTGTGTGTACAAGTTTGTGCGTGTGCGTGTCTAGTCATCCGGCTACATCTAACGATAGCAACAGTCATCTTTTTAACACCGTGGAAATTGAATTGAGCTAAATGACAGGACATTAAGTTCCTTAATTTACCCTACGTTCGGCATAGGGTGTGTGGTAAATTATTTTTATGAAAGAGCTCTTACAGCCCCTTGCTCCTGTTGCACTGTGAAAGGAAAATGACTTTAACTATGATAGGAGCATATCATGGACTTTTTCACTGTGAGAACTGGTGTATTAAAATGATATTGTTCATATGGGGATAATATATTTATTACAATGATCTTAGAAAGCAGCACATGATATGTAGCTCTCTGCATATTTTGTCTTGTGCTGCTGGAGCATGTAAATTAATCTGAACAGTGCATTCAATATGGAACCAAAATAGAGAGCTGTGGATCAGTGTGTTTAAAGGTCTTGTGTTTATGAGTTTATAACTCAGATCTGATGTTGTAGATGGTATTACACGCCATTTTCAGTTATCACTGAGCACTGTATGAATCTCATTTTCCCCCATCAAGTACAATAAAACAGGTAGGATGCTTAACAAATTTATTAGACCAGCTGTCATAGAACAAGAAAACACAAATTTTTTCAAAGAAAGAAATATTCAGAACAAAAAAATGACGTGATTGTTTATCAGGCAAATAACAAACCCAGTTTTCATTTTTTGCTTAAATTTGAGGCAGACTGGAATTCTCTGACAAGTCAGAAATTAGTCAAGCATAACATTCATATACTAAAACTAATTTTGGTGTTCAGGAATGCAAGTAAATTACTGTAATTTGGCATCTAAGCAAAAATTAATAATATGCATCACTATATTTTCTGCTATTTTTTGTAAAACACTGAATTGGAAAATTCCTGAATAACAAGAATGAGGAGCTTGTGCATCAAGGTTGATAAATCATTGCAGAAACTTTGTAGAAACTTTGGGGCAGCTGTGGTATAAACATTATATTGGATTGTGGTCTAATAAATTCCTTAAGCACCATATTTTACCCATTTATTTTGCTTCTACCAAATAGCTTTTTAAAATATGCGGCACTCTGATATTTCTTCTGATATTTTTGGGATCAAAATACTTATTATTATAAAAGTGTGCTCCCCACTTTCCTGTCTGGCTATGCTGCCTGGATCCAGTGATGGTGCAAAAAAGTATCTTTTGACTGATTTCATATTCAGAATGTTGCTGTTTGACTTTGCAAGCATTAAAAGATTTTAGCCAAAGAAAAATCACATTTTTTAAGGTAGTTTTTCTTTGGCTAAAATCTCTTTGGTGAAGTGTCCTCATATAGCTTGTTTGAAGTTAGATGGTACTTTCATAATAACTCATGCTTTTAATAATATTATACTTTCTTTACAGGCTTGCATTTAAAGTCTTTACTGAAAAAGTAGATGTATTGAATCAGAAGCCTTGTTAATTTTCCTAATTTCTGAAGGGCAAAATTTTTGCACTGAGTGTTCTTTCATTCGAAGAACCTTTCTTGGAAATGTGTTTTTATAAGATGAAAGACTGACAAAAAAAAGGAAACCTGTATTTTTTTATAAAAAGCCTCCAAGGTCTCGTCATATATTGTATTCATTTGTGTGTGTTTGTGTGTGTTTCTTTCTCTTTGAGGTGGGAGAGATGAGCAGGAGGGTCTTGCAGCTGTCAGAAGGATCTGTGAACACTACAAAGAGGCCAAAGGTAACATTGCAAACATTAAACGCATGCACACGCAGGCAGACACACGCATGCGTACGCACAAATGTTGTTGTTTTAGCAAGCCGCTGTTTGAAGATAAAGGAAAGAGCTGCTGTAGTCTGCCCCGTAGGCTTTTTTCCAGTCTTTACCAAACATACACACATGATTTCACAGTTGCAGGTAAACCTGAACACACACAACCGCACATACATACAGTGTCAGGAGTGTTGTAGATCCACTGTAATGAACATGAGGAGGAAAATGATGCAAAAGGATGTGAAGATACCAGCTTTTTTTTCTAAATAAAATAGGAAAAAAGAATCAGGAGGTGGAAGAAGATGGGAAACACAGAGGTGGTGATGAAAATGGGAAGAGACAAATAATAGTAGAGATATATCACTTCATCGACAACAGCTTACAGGGTTCTCTTTTTAAATCCCATGTTGAGAAATTGATTCGGCTGACCTTCACATCACCGTAAATTCCACTATAGTGCCGTGACTAAGAAGACTGTACGAAATAGCCTTGAGATTTTACCACCTCGTAAGGTGAGTCAGTTGCTGTTTTATTAAAGAGGTGTTCCAAGATTGGTACGCTTGCAAAATCAGGTTTTAGATAGTGTCTGTAATATTTGAGGCATACTAGAGCTACTTATGTTTTCCTTTATAAATGTACAGTTTTTTAATATTTTTATTAAAAAAAATCTTCTTAAAAACTAAAACAATGTAGTCATTTTACTTGTTTTTGGATCCAGAACGTGTGTGGTAGTGCCACATTTGTCCAAAGCTATTAAAAACACTTTGGGTTAGCTACACCATTACACTGTGTAATGATACTGTATGTTCAAATGTTTCCAGTTTTTCCAATACCTGACCATTGACGATACGTTCATGCTTATTTACTGCACTTACTGTGAGTTTTAAGTTTTTGGGACCTTGAGCTAGCAGAAAAAAGCTGTATGCTGTTTGTCCTGTCAACAACAAACTTTATAGGATTTGTATAAAAAATACATTTACAGGTTTATCCTGTGTTTCTTCATTTGTTCTTGAGATGCTTCTAAGGTAAATCGTGAACACTTTGTAGAGGACATGGACATGTAGCACATGAAAACTAATATTAAAACCGTGCCCATGCATGAAACGATGCCACAACGAGACACCATAGAAAGTAAATGACATTCCACTAAATAACTGCTGGTGACGGGAAATGGGCCAGTAATTCCAGGCAAGCAATTGAAACAAGTCATAACAATGCGAATGAAGAATTTTGCTGTTTGACTTATGATCTGGCAGTAAATACATTAGAGGGTTACCTAGGCAACCAGACCCTGGATTGCCTGCAAACGGCCGGCCTTCAGTTGCAAAGCAATAAGCGCGTGTGCAGGTGAAAATGTCCTTTTTGTCAGATTCCAATGGGTAAAACACTTCTTTAGACATGATGACCATGAAATATGGTACAGTATTTAGAGCTAATGCTTCCAGTTGGGAAGGGGGATCTGGTTTATCTTGCTTGGCCTTGCACTGAAGAGCAACAGAAGGCTGGTTGACTGGGTCCCTGCTTGTGTGTAAGTGGCTGTCAGGTACAGAGACAGCGGCCATGTAGCCGGTGTCATTGAAGTCGATTTCCCGGGACGGAGCCGTGGTGGAATTGATTACTTCTTTTGTAATTGGCAGGCACTGAAGCATAGGGGACAAGGGGGTGTCTGTAGCCAGATGCTTATGCACTGAATGAGAATGTGCTGATTGTGTATGCGTATGTGTGTGTGTGTTTGAGACTATTTGAATGAGACAGTAATGGATTCTCATTAGTATGTGAGGCAGGAGCTTTAAACATCTCTGTCCAAATGCCCTTTGGCATCCTTCCCAGCGTGTGTACATTTGTCTGTTATGAGAAATGGGAGACAGCTCATAATACATAGGCTGTGGAGGTGATTCTCTAACTGGGGACTTGGCTAGACAAGTCCAGGTCCCTTAGGGTGTTTCAAGGTGTCACGAGTGGCAAAGTGTTTTATTTCACAATCTCAATGTAGAGCACTGCGCAAAAGTCTTGAGCCACCCTTCATTACTTTATATTTTGCTTCCAAGGAGACAGATTTTTCTTGTATTTAAAAAAAAAACTGTTCTTCAGGCTTTTTGACATTGGCTGCTTTTTCACTCATTTTCCCTGCAGTCCCTGTACCTAATTCTCAGAGGATTTTTTTGTTTGTTTGTTAAGCCACTTAACACTTACTTTGTTACTAGCAGCCTGTCACATAAACACATAATTTCTTTAGTTCAATCTAAAGAAAAATGACAAAACATAGTTGGACAGGCTTAAATTTGTATTTTTGCACAATGTGACCAACGGGATAATTCCTTATTTGCTGAAAACTTGTCATGTCTTGGCATCATGTGTACTATGTCCTTAAAAAATATCAGGAAACTGGACAAATGGATGTAAAAAGAAGATGTGGCAGGCCTAAAACATTTTCTACAGCATGTGAACAATATTTCAAAGTCTTGTGCTTAAGAAAAAAGCAGTTGGCACTTCAGTTGATCCATCTACTGTTTGCTGAAGACTCATCAAAAATGGTCTTAGTGGGAGAATGGCTTTTAAGAAGCCATTTGTAAAGAAAAGAAACGGGAAGAAATGGCTGAGGCATAAATCCGAAATCTTTGGTTCAAATTGTTGTCAGTATGAACAGAGGAGGTCAGGAGACAGAGGTACAACAGTGAGGATGTGCAACATCTGTAAAACACAGTGGAGGGTCTGTTGTGGGGTGGGGCTGTGGTTATTTAGTCTGTGGTGTTGGGGATCCTCCATCCATCTATATAAATGGAACAATATCAGTCAAGGATTGCCTACAAGAGTTCAGGTTTTCAATAAATCTCAATAAATCACTGTATATTTTTCCAATTTTCCTATAAAAATATAAAGAAATGATGAGTGGCTCAAGATTTTTGCACATTATTGTAGAATTACTTTATGCCCTCAGATTTTATATATAGATATATAATGTAATTGGTCGTTTAAAAAGCAGTTTTTTATGGGGCTGTGGTGAGCAATCTTTTTCATGCCTTCTTTATAAAAGCAAAATTCCTGTTACACAAAAAGCACCCTAAATGTAGATAACACATTCTGGTTGTTAATCCATTTTTTAAAACACTGAAACAATTCTACTGAAGAAACAGGTTTCCATAAATGACAGTATATTTTAGGTCAGTCCATCCATTTTCTACGACTTACTGGGTACAGATTCTGAGGGGAGCAGTCTGAGCAGATATGTCCAGATCTTTCTCTCCCTGGCCACTGCCTCCAGCTCTTCTGGGGGGACATTAAAATGTTCCAATTCTGGCTGAGAGACATAATCTCCCAGGCGTTTCATGGGTCTGCTCCAGATTCTCCTCTTGGTTAGATATACCCAAAACACCTCGCCTAGGAGGCACCCAGAGGCATCCTGGCCGAATGCCCAAACCACCTCAACAGGCTTCTTTCAATGCAAAGAAGCAGTGGCCCTACTCTAAGTCCCTCCTGGATGACTGAGCTCCTCATCCTACCTCTAAAGGGAGAGCCCAGACCACTTCACAGGAAGCTTGTTTCTGCTGCTTGTATCTGCAGTCTAATTTATTTGGTTACTACATGCCATTGGTGGGCAAAGGTGAGGAATGTAGTAGATCAACCCAACTGATTACCAAATCATCTGTAAAAAGCAAACGTGAGTCTAAGGCCACCAAAAAAGTGCATCCTAGGAATTTTGGTTGCGTCTAGAAACTCTGCCATAAACAAGTTTGACTTGTTGCCGGCAATGCAGACCAGGCTCTGACTGTGAGCGATTGTAACAATGGGCATGATGCTTCATACTTCAGAGAAATCCACCAGAGGACACCCCGAGGGATATAGTTAAATACTTTTAAGTCTACAAAATACTTGTAGAGTTGCTTGGCAAATTCCCACACACCCTTAAGTATACTTAAGAGGTTAAAGAGCTGGCGAGTGTTCCACGACCAAGACGAAAAAAGCATTGTTCTTCAGTAAAGTTTATGTATTACTAACTGTCTGCTCTTTTGAAAGGTGTCACACAGCCTCAGGACCATGCATTTCACTATTCAGTGATGTTATTCGAGTGTTTGTAAGCTGAGGGATTTTTAACATTTGTTTTAATGTGTAAAGGTGTTTTTGGTCTATTGGGAATCATGTAGCAGTACATTTTGCACTCTAAAGAGGTAATGTCCCTTGGAAACCTCTAGCAAAATCCTATGAAACATGCTAATGATTTTGGACTGCACCTGGGCGCGAGACAATGAAGCTTAGAGGCTTTTACTTTAAATTATGAACATGCGCGCACACACACACACACTGGGAGATGCAGGGTATTTCTGTGTTTTGCCACAGGCAGCGCTGTCTGCCCACTAACTTTAGTCACGGTGCACTTGAAAGTAACACATTGTGCCTCAAACCAAAGGCCTAGATTAGCAGTGTGAAACAGGGGACCCTATGTGTGTTTGTCTGTCTGCTTAGCACACATTCAAATTTCTTCCAGCTTAGGTAACGCAGCTGCTGCCTTCTTACAAAAAACATTGTTGTTTTACCTAAGCTCTTTAACTCTAAACAGAATTTAAGTGCAATGGGATGTTCATACAAGGTTGACCTTGTTAGTGCGCGTTTGTACCTCAGGGATTGTTACGTGGTTATAAGCGTGATATTGTGAATAATTTTGAACAGCAATTCGTTTTGAGCATTTCTGTGATTTCCTTTTTGGTCCGTGTGAAACTGACTCACAGTAGCCACATATTCACATTTACAGCTGTCTTGAAACGCAACGTCCCATTAGCGCTGCACGCTGGACTCGACCAGCCAGCCCCCTCTCTCCTACATCAGCCGAATAAAAACGTCTGTGGAGGAGCTAAGACTGGCAGGCTGCCCAGTCCTAATACTCTCGAATTTCACTTTGTTGTTTATCAGATTTAAAGTCAAACTATTTATATTTCCCCCCCCCCTGGGTCCCGTAAGATGTATCCTTCGGG